TCAAGGACCGGGGTCCTCTGAGCGCCATCAGGGATCGGGGTCCCCTCAGAGCCATGAGGGACTGGAGATCCTCTCAGAGCCATGAGGGACTGGGAGTCCCTCAGAGCCGTCAAGGACCGGGGTCCTCTCAGAGCTCTGAGGGATTGGGGTCCCCTCAGGGCCATCAGGGATCGGGGGTCCCTCAGAGCCCTCAAGGACCAGGGTCCTCTCAGAGCTCTGAGGGACTGGCGTCCCCTCAGAGCCGTGAGGGACTGGAGATCCTCTCAGAGCCGTGAGGGACTGGGGATCCTCTCAGAGCCATGAGGGACTGGGGGTCCCTCAGAGTCATCAAGGACTGGGGTTCCCTCAGAGCTCTGAGGGATCAGTGTCCCCTCAGAGCCATGAGGGGCCAGGGATCCTCTCAGAGGCATGAGGCATTGGGGTTCCCTCAGAGCCATCAAGGACCGGGGTCCTCTGAGAGCTCTGAGGGATCGGGGTCCCCTCAGAGCCATGAGGGACTGGGGGTCTCTCAGAGCCATCAAGGACTGGGGTTTTCTCAGAGCTCTGAGGGATTGGCGTCCCCTCAGAGCCATGAGGGACTGGGGGTCCCTCAGAGCCATCAAGGACTGGGGTTTTCTCAGAGCTCTGAGGGATTGGGACCCTCTCAGAGCCCTGAAGGACTGGGGGTCCTCTCAGAGCCATCAGGGATCCGGGTCCCCTCAGAGTCATCAGGGATCAGGGGTCCTCTCAGGGCCATGAGGGACAAGTGTTCCTCAGAGCTATGAGAGCTCAGGATCCCCTCAGAGCCATGATGGATCAGGGTGCCCCCTGAGCCATGCAGTGTGAGGGCCTCAGAGCTGTGAGGGACCAGCATTTCCTCAGAGCTATGGGAGCTCAGGATCCCCTCAGAGCCATGAAAGCTCAGGGTCCTCCCAGAGCCATGAGGGACCAGGGATCCTCTCAGGGCTGTGAGGGACCATTTCAGAGCTGCAGGAGCTCAGGATCCCCCTCAAAGCATGAGGGATTGATATCGACTCAGAGCCATGAGGGATCAGGGTCCCCTCACAACTACGGGGGCTCAGGATCCTCTCAGAGCTGTGAAGGACTGGGGTCCTCTCAGAGCCATGAGGGTGGCAGGATGCTCAGAGCCGTGAGGGATCAGGGTGTCCTCAGAGCTGGGATCAATCAGGATCACCTCAGAGCCATGAAAGATCAGGGTCCCCTCAGAGCCTTGAGGGACCAGGGTCTCCTCAGAGCTATGAGGTTGAGGACGCCCTCAAAGCCATGAAAGCTCGGGGTCCCCTCAGAGCCATGAGGGATCAGTTCCCCACAGAGCCATGGGAGCGCAGGGTCCCCTCAGAGCTGGGATCCCCTCAGATCTGTGAGGGACTGGAGTCCCTTCAGAGCTGTGGGGGGTTGGGGATCCTCTCATAGCTGTAGGGATCAGTTCCACGCAGAGCCATGGAAGTTCAGGATCCCCTCAGAGCCATGAGGATTTTGTGTCCCTACAGAGCCATGAGGGTTTCGGCTCCTCTCAGAGCCATGGGAACTCGGGATCTCCTCAGAGCCATGAGGGTGCAGGATCTGAGCCTGAGGTTTGTCCTGACCCACCACGCCAGGGTGCAGCGCAGGGTCTCTGTGGTTCGTCTCAGCGCAGCTCCAGGTGCTGCCATGGCCCTGGGATGGGGTGGTGAGAGAGCCCTGCGGTGCAGCCTGGCCCTGGGCTGTGGATGCCGCTGAGGGGGAGCTCCCGGGGGAGGCAGCCCTCCTAATGGCCCCATCTGCGGTTGCAGCAGCCCCTCGGCTCTCCTGGTCTGCACAAGTGTCAGGGGGAGTTCATGTCTCAGGCATGTTGCTCAACAAGCAAAAAGCTGAAGCGGTTGGAAACCTTTATTGGATCTTGTGCACAGGGTACACCCACCACCGGGGAATTCAGCACACTCAGGTCCTCCAGAAGCATCTGGGATCTCCACTGTGGGCATCCTCACAGAGGCACCTTCAGCTAGGTTGGTTGACACCCCCAGGCCTTCCCTCTATGGCTGACAGCCGTTGTGTGACCAACAGTCTACTTGGAATCACCACAGAATCCCAGACTGGTGAGGGTTGGAAGGGCCCTCTGGAGCTCCCCCAGTGCCACCCCCTGTCAGAGCAGGGGCACCTCCAGCAGTGGCACAGGACGGCGTCCAGGCGGGTTGGGGATGGCTCCAGAGGGGGAGACTCCCCCACCTCTCTGGGCAGCCTGTGCCACTGCTCTGCCGCCCTCACAGCAGAGAAGGCCCTCCTCACATTGAGATGGAACTGCCTCTGGTCACGTTTGTGCCCGTTCCCTCTTGTCCTGTCACTGGGCACCGCTGGAAAAACACTGTTCCCATCCCCCTGGTGCCCTCGCCTTGCTCAGCATTGATAAGATTCCCCCTCAGCCTTCTCTTCTCCAGACTGAACAGCCCCACGTCCCTCAGCCTTTCCTCATCAGAGAGATGCTCCAGTCCCCTCAGCATCTCCGTAGCCCTTTGCTGGACCCTCTCCAGCAGTTCCCTGCCCTTCCTGACCCGGGGAGCCCCGAACTGGACACAGCGCTCCAGATGTGGCCTCCCCAGGGCAGAGCAGAGGGGGAGGATGACCTCCCTCCACCTGCTGGCCACACTCTTCTTGATGCCCCCCAGGATGCCATTGGCCTTCTGGGCCCCCAGGGCACATTGCTGGCTGGGGGGCATCCCGTTGTCCCCCCGGACTCCCAGGTCCCTTTCCACAGAGCTGCTCTCCAGCAGGTCACCCCCAACCTGTACTGGTGCGTGGGATCATCCCTCCCCAGATGCAGTACCCTACACTTGCCCTTGATGATTTTCCTTAGGTTCCTCTCCCCCCAACTCTCCAGCCTGTCCAGGTCACGCTGTAGAGCAGCACAGCCTTCTGGCGTGTCAGCCACTCCTCCCAGTTTTGTGTCCTCAGCAAACTTGCTGATGGTACACTCTATCCCTTCATCCAGGTCATTGATGAATCTATTGAACAGGACTGGACCCAGTACTGACCCCTGAGGGACACCACTTGTTACTGACCTCCAACTAGATTCTGCGCCACTAACCACAACCCTCTGAGCTCTATCTGCCAGCCACCTCACCTTATCCTCCTAACTTGGTAAGTTTGCTAAACTCTCTGACCACCAGCTATGCAAAATGGGACCTCCCTTACCATAAGAGGTGATCAAAACTGCAAAGTTAAAGGTTCGCTCGGTAGCGTTA